ATAATTGTTTACTTAATTTAACCCAGTTTTCTCGCCATTTTACACTGTTTCATTTTTTTCAAAAATTACGTGATATTTGCCGAGACCACCCTCCCCCCACGTGAGATTGGGTGGGGTTTGGCTCGACCCCCTCCCCCCCTAAACACCTCACGTAATTAATGGATGCCCCCTAACATTTCTTATGCACATTTAATTCACACCGGACGCACGCCGTGAATACAGATCTGTTAGCACGTTTAATTAAAGATCTTCAAATTTATTTTGATAGGTTAGCTATACCTCTGTTTGATAGGGAAGGTATACCTACCCTATCAAAATAAATTTGAAGACTGAATTCGAAATAAGAAAAAGAAAACATAACATTAAAGGAATATTAATTAAAGATTTTTATTAAATATTAAACGGAAAATAAAAAAGTACATTTTTTAATTAATATCAGTTATTAATATTTAATATACCTATAGGTAATTATATATAATAATTGCAAAACCAAATACGCGGGCACTCGTGAGCTTGCGCCTATGGCCGTCACATTTCAACTAAATGCAGGGTTGCCGCTTGCAGGTATTTGACCCGAAAATCGCGTATTTCATCATGCTTGCAAGTAAAATATTGAAGCAGGTATTTTATAAATTTTACTTTTCAAAGAAATTTTCAGTAAATAATATTGTATAACTACTAACTAAACATAATTCTTTAATTCTATCCTTTTATTTTTCTCTTAATTTATTCAAAATTTAATTCACTTTTCCAAATTGAGCAAATGTACTAGAAATTTTTACTCGTGTGGGTAATTTCTAGTATTTTGTAATTTTTGGTCGGGAACTTTCACGAAAATCATCCGGCTGCAATCCGGCAACACTGCAGCGTTAGTGTGCGTACGCAGCTAAGAGCCACGAGGTTTTCTATAGAATACCATATATGGTAAACCGTAAACATCTAGCTAGATATCCTGTATACCGGTAAAACGTTCAGTTCATATCCTTTTTCTATGGTTCAGAGATTAACGTTCAGTTTCAAGGTGTATGTATCTTGGTTCAGTTTTTCAGTTTTATAATATATAGGTATTCAGTTCAATAAATACTTAAGTTGCTAGCCAGGAATTCCAAAGGTAAGTTTGACATTTATATATTTTAGCATGATCAAATTTAAGATACGAATTTTATTGTATATATACTATAGTAGATCAGTGCACTGATAATAATTGTTACAATTATTGCAAAAACAACAAAAACAATGAATAACCATGGTTATATTTTTTTATAAAGTTTTTATTCATTGTTTTTGTTTTTGAGTCAGATACAACAGGGTGTTAAAATCTTCAATGATCTACCAAACTCCATTAAATCCTTGGATAAATATGAAAAATTTATAAAAACATTGAAAAAGTACATCAAGGACAATTTATAATTATTATACTGTTATTCAATTTATAAATCTATTTTTTCTTTATTGTAATGATTACTCTACGTTAACAGCTATTACAAGTTGATTTGTAGTTTCAATTTAATAAATAAATAAATAAATCACGTCAAGTGGACCCCCCATTTTCCACTTCAAATAGAATTTAAATTTTAATACATCAATCGTTAGTAGTCATTAGTAACAATATTTCCTTAAAATATATTTTTTTTTATTTTAATTTTAACAGTTTTTTTGTAACAAAGATTTTTCTCACTTTTAATTAAAAAATTAATTGTGAAAAAACTGTTAAAAGTTTCGTAGTGAAATTTTCAGGACTTTTTTTTAAATTTTTTTATACTTTTTTTGATCATTGAAATATACAATTCAAATTTTTGATAAAGTCTCTATCAAATAATCAAGTTTTTTTCATGGTTACATGTACTTGATATAAAGGTTTCATATCCTGAAAAAAAAATTTCACTGCCCAGCATTTCTTTAAACATTATTAATTTTTTACTGCAAGGCTCCGCGCCTCATGAGTCGAAGCCGCGCTCGGCTGAATTGGTTTGAATCATTTGTTTTTATTTGAATTCAAAATATGACATCCATTTTAATATTTTTATTAGTAAATATACAGTCGACAAATATTTTACAATTTTTTAATCAATAAAATAAATGAATTAATTAATTAATACAGAATATTTTTATTAGCTATCGCAAGACTTTTCTTTTTAAATAATATTTATTAAATTTTATAAAATGAGTCTTGTAAATAAATGCTTTAATCCATTAATAATGTTATAATTTATATATTTTTTAAGGACCAAAAAGAAATTAAAATAAGGGGAAAAAATGATGAGTTATTTGACTCATTTGATGATGTGTCCAGTGATGAATCAGTAAGTATACTTATCTGTAGATATAATTTCATATATGTGATACATAATATATATTATAATAAAATATTATACAGTATTATACTCATGTGTATGCATTAATTAGTATTATTGATGTTATAATTCATATTTTTTTTAAGGTTAAAGAGGACATTGAAACCTCTGAGGTTGATTCGGAATAAACTTTACAACATAACACTTTGTGTTTTATTTCAGTATACTATTGTACCTCAAGTTTAATTATACAAAGTTTATACAAAAGTGCTCTTTTAGTTCCACCCTTACTTCTTCCAACTGAATGGCTTGTGCCCGTTAGGGGTAGGAACGGACCGCGGGTTTAAAGTCCCCTTCGAGGGACTAATACACAATAGGACAAACACAAATAAACAGCCATACCCCTGGTGGGATTCGAACCCACGACCTCCGGCTTGTAGTCAGCAGCACTAACCACTAGACCACCGTCGGCGTGGATGGCGTAATTGTCTAAAAAATATTCTCCAATTGGACATAAATCACATCTTTATTTAACATTTTTCATTTGACTTTATTTACAAATATAACAAAATCTGTTATTTTAAAAAATAACACGTTTTATTTTGTGTTCCAATTTAAAATTAAGTGCAAAAAAATTGAGTATACGCACGAAATTCACCGTAAATACGCACGCGAAGATGCGCCCTCCCCTTGAATTCAGCGTAAATGCACAAGTGAAGCTCGAAGTGAGTGCGCATGCATGCTAAAATTCGCGCGAAAAAATTGAAATTATGGTGAATGCACATTTTTTGTTCAGAAAACTTATTTTACTATATAGGTGAAAATATGTTTTCTGAACATGCACCCTTATTTCATTTTTTTCGCGCGAATTTAGAACACGCATGCATTTACGGTGAATTTAAGGGACGGACGCATCTTCACGTGTGCATTCACGGTGAATTCATGTGTGCATTTAAGGGGCGGACGCATCTTCACGTGTGCATTCACGGTGAATTCAATGGGCGGATATATCTTCACGTGTGCATTCACGGTGAATTCCAGGGGCGGACGCATCTTTTAGCAACCGTGAATTCACGCGTGAAGCAATATTTTTCACCGTGCATTCACGGTGAACTCACGAATGTTATCTGGGCATGAGAGATCTCAAATATAAAACCATTAGGTAGGTACTGTAACTGTAAATTGTTTTTACAAGTGTTTTTGGAAATTCAATAGCTAACCTTCTTAAAGTTCCTTACACTGTCAGCTAATATACACATAGTGTCAATACAAGTACCTATAAAAGCTTCGACAAAATTTTATCTACATCGAACAATCATTAGGTATATAAACCTTATAAATTCTAAAATTTAAATAAAACCACAGTATACTCTATCTAATATTTTACTTGTAGTAGTCTTTCTTATCCAGCTTAAAGTATACCTACATAAAGTTTTGTCAATACAATTACGTATAAAGCTTCAACTGAATTTTATCTTCATCGAAAAATCATTATAACTTTTAAAAATTTCAAAAATCACATATTATGGGAGTATTAAATATTTTTACATTGCATGTATCTCTAAAAATTGTTTGTTTCCTTATAATCTAACTTAAAGTAGGGATCCTGAGAGCCTCTCAGTGAGAGGTATGCACAAGTTTTGTTGTTAGGAGTATAAAAGCTTTAATATAATTTGAACCATATTCAACAATTATTTAGTATATCTATATTTATATGACCATATTAACACACTCTTCCAAATAATCCAAAATACTTATTTATTTTGATCAAAATAGATTTTTCTAACCTTAAAATTTCAAAATAAGATGATATTTTTTGTTATAATATATTCACCTACCTTTGATACAGATATTCTTATTCCATAATAGACAAGCTAAATTTTTTTAATAAATGCCGTTTAGTTAAAACTATTTAATGGATAAAACCAGATATATGTAAACCAAATGCACAAACATTTTACTTATTTGGCACTATACACTTTAGAATTTCATTAAATGCAGTATTTATAACCAACCATTGTTACTGTGATACTATAAAGATTTATAAACTTTTAACGCTTAAACATAAATGGTAACAGTATAAATATTATTTCTTGCATTGACTATACTTTGACAGATACATAACCTGAAAAGCCTTAAATGACAATTTATCAAAAGACTGCGTTCCGTACGTGGTCACGTGGTGGGACTTTGAAGTGTGGAGCATAGTACCTAAAAAACTTTATCTGATTGGTCTAAATTATTTTTTAGGAAATAATCGAATAGGTACCTATACTTTGGTAGTAACCGTTGACAATAAGCTTAAATAGAATATAGGTATAGAACGATTTTAAAACAGGTAAATTTGCTATACCATACCAATTTATTTAAGTACTTACAAAGAGGTATTTTTCTTTAAACAATTCACCAGCCGGTCTTTTATTGTCTAGACAGCAAACCGTTTTATCACACTACCTGCCAATAGATATTTTACTTATAACAATGCACCATTTATACCTTATCTCGAATGGTTGCATCTAACACCAAATAGCTACATACAATTATTGTTTGATCCACTTAACACTCGGTCTATTGATACTAATTTGCATACAAAAAGACCTTCTATTGCCACAAATCCCTGTTATTCTCGAATAACCGGGAATCTCAGTTCAAATTGATCGCTTTCAGAAAGCGTTTATAGGTACGGGTTGACCAGTAAAATTGTTTAGTAACTCGAACTTTATCGCTGGTACAAGTCGTGTTCCTATAATACCGGTCTGAATAAGTTTAAGGTGATAATTTCGCGAAATACTTTACTATGGGCTCTACTGACAGTAGTGTGCCGTGCTATTTGGTGCTGGAAGATGGAACGGTGCTTCCGGGAAAATCTTTTGGTGATAAAAAGCCTACGGACGGGGAAGTCGGTAAGTTCAACACGTGGTGGCGATGTTTTCGTTTAGAATAGTAGCGCTTGTAAATAACGTTTCCCGTTACGACTTTAGTTCCTTATTTTTTAATTCTCTTACCTACGCACTTGTGTTTCGATTTATTTATTTTTAGATTTATCTTTTTCAATTTAATCATAATATGATAAATTGGCTGTTAAAATATTGGTAAATATTTAGTTATACATTATTTAATTGTTTGTTGCATCTAATTTAATATAATAATATATAATCAACTATTAATCAATTACAAATTAAGTATTATTTGTAAATAAGGTGCAAAAATTAGGTTATGTATAACATAACATGTTTTCCTAAATATTCAAATTGATAAAGTTCAATCCGGTTCAATCATATCGCCGGGTTGCGTATTGGCATTGTGTACTACGATACAGAGCCATAGTGTTCTGAATCGCAGTAAGGATTGACAAAATTAAACGCCAGTAAGTACAATACAATCCATACTACGATTCAGCACATCTCCCAGTTTGTGATGTTTTGAATCATAGTAGAGAATGGTGCAGTGCTGCCAGAGCAGATGGTCGGATAATCCGTATATATTCGTGGAAAGGGTGGAGGAAGCCTCGAAAAATCCGTAAAAATCCGTTTTTGTCTAAATTTCGAAAAATTTCTTCTATAAGGGGGATTTTCGTGACAAAACATACCTTTCGTCAAAGAAAATCCGAAACATCTCATAATTTTTCGGGGGAGTTTCAGAAGTTTGAACCTCTTCGTCAGTGATATAATTCTCGTCACTTTCCATTTTTCACAAAATAAAGTATTTTATATACAGATTCGGATATATAATAAACATTGACTTTGAGATCAAAATATTGCCACAATGCAGTTCAATGCACTGAACTGGAGTCAGTATTGGTTAGTCGTTACCAGGGGCGGCTAGTGCATAAGGGCTGCAGAGCTGCAGAACTCCCAAAATTTTCTTATTACTTGACTAATTTTTTAATTATTTAATATTTAAGTGCGACAGTGTATGAATATTTCAAACGCATGGCTGCATAAAAAGTTTTTATTATAAACATTCGCCGTACTTGGCCACTACAGTCATCCAAACGACCGGTAAAGGTCTCTAACGCGTAACGCTTACAATACAACAAAGCTGGGCCACTTTCGAGTTCTGGATCCCATTTCAATACCGTAATTTTGCTCCGCGCCGCTCTTGGTCCTAGGTTGAGATAGTGAAATTTAAGCCAAACCGGAGCTGCACCAACATACAGTTCCTACTTCCCGGTCGTTTGTTTTTCGCTTCGCGTGCACGTTTGTTATTTTAACTAGAAGACTGTTAATTCGGTGTATTTTTGTGTTTGTTGTTGTATTCTTTTGTAAGAATGAATGTGGTGTATGATTTAATTATGATTTAATTAATTAACTGTAGGTACCATTTAATTAAATGCCCACTGCGCCACATTTTTTTAAACCCCACTGGCAGAACTCACAAATTTTACTGCCACGAGCCGCCACTGGTCGTTACTATTGATGGCATTGCGCCGCTTATATATTGGCAGCAATAACAACGTGTTATGAAACCTTAACAAATGATATGAAACTATCGTTCTCTTTGTCACACTCAATGAAAAAGCATATGTTTCGCATATATTCGGCGTTTAAGAACCCTATATTAAGAACACATCCTTTTTCAATCCGCTTTCTTTTTCTGTAAAAAGGAAGAGGAATAGAAGCGTGACAAAGATGATCAAAAAACGGGGCAAAAATGATGTTTTTTTAGTATTAGTATGAAGCTATCTTAAAAATCCGTAAAAATCCGTATTTGATGAAAATCCGTTCAAAATCCGTTTCCAATTTCTCTAGACCTGGAAAATCCGTAAAAAACGGATAAATCCGTTCATCTGGCAGCACTGGAATGGTGTAGGGCATAGAGAAAGGAAAAAAGGAGAGGAACACTTTACGTGTTACGATTAAGGCACATAGTTTCGAGCGCCCTCGGTGGCTACGGGAATGAACTAGGTGTTTGGAGGGAGATTTAAAACTAAAATAGATCTATTTATGATAGGAATAATAAAAATGCATATTAAGATAAATTTTTTTATTCAAGAAACAAATGTATATAAATAATAGTATAAATAAATAATAATAGTAATAAATAAATAAAGTAAATATTATAAAGTAAATAGTAATAAATAATAATGTGTGCCTGGTTGCCAATTGGAAAAACTTTTTTAAGACAAAAATTGTTACGTTTTAAGAAAAAATTTAAACAAATATACAGGGTGCTTCCAAATCACGGATTAATTCATTTATAGAATTTTTTTAGAGAAAGTCGATGAAAATTATAATACGAAATAATAAAATATTGAATGCCTAATTTTATTTAAAGATGTTAATTTTTTAAATTTATTTACGTTTTAAGAAAAAATTTAAACAAATATACAGGGTGCTTCCAAATCACGGATTAATTCATTTATAGAATTTTTTTAGAGAAAGTCGATGAAAATTATAATACGAAATAATAAAATATTGAATGCCTAATTTTATTTAAAGATGTTAATTTTTTAAATTTATATTTGGTCTTTAAATTGCCAACTATAAATATATATCTATAGATATTATAAAATATTATAAATAAAGGTACTTTTTGAATTTTCTTAATTTTTAAACAACCTGTATATTTGATTAATTTTTTAATGGGAATCTCATTTTTAAATAATTAGAAGATATTATGAAGAATGTTTTTTCGTAAAACGCATAATAAAAATGTTCACAAACCCCTCTGGGGAAACACTGTATATAACACTGTATTATAAAACAGAACAAAAATAAAAAATAACAAATAGGTACCTAACAAATAAAAACATTTTTAGCAGATATAATATGGTGAAAAAATTAATAAACTTTAATCTTAAATATAAACAAAACAAAAGAAACATTTTTGCATAAAAACATCTTATACAGGGTGTCCCATAATTAGCGTGCATACAAAAATAGGTCGAGAAATGCTCTCCAAGGGAGCTACAGCCCCCAAAACAGGAGCCCCTGAAGATGGTTTTTATTAAATATCTCCAAAACCGTTTAAGATAAAAAAGTGAAATTTTGGGATATAATCAAACTTTATATAGCCAATAAATTGGAATGATAAAAAATTCAAAATTTTTATAAGGGGTGGGTCAGATAGAAATGGAGGGGGGGTAAAACTACCCTAACTTTTTTGTACGTATCATGTGCTATGATTTGATATCAGATCATAAAATTTCAGAGTTTTACACACAAAAACGGTCCTCTTGATGAACTTCGATAGCATGCACCGTTTTCGCTTAAAATCGATTTAAAAATTACCTTACATAGCATAAAAATTCATAATTAAATCACAACTAGAGAAAAAGATTCAGCGTAGGCCATGGACAATTTTTAAACATGGCCATGGACAATTTTTAAACACCCTGTCACATATTACATAAAACTGTCACCTGTATTAAATAATTTTTCCTAAAGATGGCAGCTGTGTTCCATGGCCTACTCTGAATTTTTCTCTCTTGTGAATTCATTATGATCTTTTATGCTATGTAAGGTAATTTTTTTTAAATGGATTTTAAGCGAAAACAATGGAGAATATCAAAGTTTAACAAGAGGACCTTTTTTGTGTGTAAAATTCCTAAATTTCATAATTCACATCAAATCCCAGCACGAGACACGTACAAAAAGGTAGGGTGGTTTTAACCCCTATACCCTATCAATCTGACCCACCCCACATGGAAATTTTGAATTGTTATTATTACGTAATGTACATCTTATTGGCCATAAAAAGTTTGATTAATTTCTACCTTAACGATTTTGGATATATTAAATAAAAACCATCTTCAGGGGCTCCTCATTTGGGGGCTGTAGTTTCCTTAGAAAGCATTTCTCGGCCTATGTTTATGGGAACTTTTTTTTCTTATTTTTGCACGTAGTATTGCACGCTATTTATGGGACACCCTGTATATTACATATAAACCATATAAATTTTAATATTATTACCTCAAATAAAGCTGTAAACCATATGTGGTTTATATTTTTATAATAATAACAATTTAAAGTTTAAACTGCCCATTATTATCTTTAGGGACATTGAGAATCTCCTACCAGGTATATCAGAACGATTAGATCCTAAAAAACAAAGTATTAAGGAGGTGCAGAGTGTTTATAAAATTATTACCTTTAATGTAGCTCTGGACAAAGCATACACAAAAAAATAAACAAATAAACCATGTACACAAACAATGTAACCTCACAAAACGAAGTTTTATAATACAAAAATTACTCAAACACACCCGCTAGAATGTTGTCTTTGTTGAATACATATAAAAACAAAGACGGCTGCAGAGCAGTATGACAATTATTAGTTGTATATAGTTCAGCCGCTCACCACCATGCGCTATGCGCTACGGGAACGTTATGCATGCGCCGTCCTATTCAATTGGTGGTCTTTTTCTTTTCTTTTGTCTATGGTGTAGGGTATGCGCGACCGCAGCAGGCCATACTTTACTACGATTCAGAAAATAGTATTCTAATTTGAATTGTAGTTGGATAGCTTACCTACAAATACGCTAGCTGCACGCCTTATCAATAAAAACAAATTATTATTTTTAATTGGAATTTATTTATTAATAAATATTAATAAAAACAAACTAGGTACTCTCTGCAGTTTTAATAATAAATATACATTAACCCAAAGGAAAACAATCATTTTAAACTTATTAACAAAAAGATCGTTTTACCCAAAAATTTTGCAAGTATCAGATATAAACGTACCACAACGGATTTAAATAATATTTGAAATAGTTAATAGGCTTCTTTTCTACTTTTACATATATGTATGTATGTTTTATAAAACTATTAATTTTGCAAAAACATTAACATAAAATATACATAAATAAGAAATTTTATTTTATTGTATTGTATTGTATTATATTATATTTTATATTGTGTTGTTTTCTTTAATAGACACCAAATAAAAATATAAATAT